CAGGCGGCGGCCCCCCCACAATCGCCCGGCATCCTGTCCCCGCTGGCGGGTTGGGGGGGAGGGGCTCCCCAACATCCAACCGCCAGAAATGGAACCCGGCGGCGCGCCTCGCTGACGTATTACGCGCCTTAGCAGCGGTTGCTAGGAGACCGAGAGGAAACCGCCCTTTGCCCCGCCCCCTTCTCGCCCCGCCCCTCACCTGGAGAGGAGAGGCCCCGGGCTAGTGGTGCGGTTGTCACGTGCCAGGCCTGCTCAGAGGCGGGCCCGTGGGGGCTGCACAGCAGGGGGTGTGAGGGCGAGGGAAGGTGGCTCGCCTGCTCGGAGACGCTGCCGCGGCCTTTGGCCAGAGCAGGGCACGCACGGAGCGGGAGGCCTGGCGGGGCTTCTCTATCTCCGGCTTGTGCGCCCCTGCGGAGGGGCTGGGGAGAGGGATGTGGCTGGAGGGCTCTGGCATTAAAGAAGGTGGGGCTGGATGCTTTCTTCAGCACGTGCCTCACTTTGCCCTGCTTCCTGCTGTCTTGTCCCCGGCCTGCTGTACCTGTGGCATAGCATAGCTCACCTTCACCACGCCTCAGTGACACCCCCTTCAAGCCATGCTTGTAATCTGCCCCACATCATGGCTGGCAGCAGAGAAGGGATAAAGAAAGTTACTGATTGGTATGGCTCATGTGGGCTATAATTTGTTCCTCCCTATCCAAATAGTCAGGATTTCATGATGTAACATACTATTTCCTTTTCATCCTAATACTGTGAATTCCAGACCTGTGGCTTTTTTTAAGGGTTATGTAAAAAGGAAATGTCTTTCCAAAACATGGATTTCTGTATACCAGCTTCTGAGGCAGTTCTGATGTATAGGCAGTACCCCCTCTGTGTTCTGGCTGTTTAGTGCCACCCCACTGATGAATTTTGGTCATAAAGCTATTTTGGCTAGCTGTGTGAGGGTAGACAGAGTGAAGGGACATCCTCTGATAGAGAGAACAAAGAGGCTTGCTCCTATAAGATCCTTGAAATAAGGATTGTGGCTGAAGCAAGAATCGTGACTCCCTAGGTGCTGTAGTGGTTCCTTAGAACCATTTTCAACCAGTGTATTTAAGATTAAGTTTGTGGTCACCCTTGGGGAAGATTAGAAGTCACATTGAAACTCAGTGCTGAGCTAAATTGTGTCATCTTCAGCCATTGCAGAAGATCTGGGCCTGAATGTTGGTCATGTGTGGAAGATACTAAAAGATAACTCACACCAGGGATTAATTTTTACTATGAGAGAAAGAACAGTTACAGCAGGAAATTCCAGGTGTAAAGACATTATAGAGAATCCTACAACTTGCATTGTCATAGTCCGGAAAGCTTTCACAGCTAGTGTTCTTTACTTAACGGAGTTGCTCCACCCACTATAATAAATGCCATTAAAATTATAGAAAAGAAGACCCTGTATTCCAAATAAGATTTGGCTTAGACATGTAAAGTAATGCGTATTTCCTGCAGACAGTACACACACTTCCCTCCCTCTTTCTATAAGGTCAGCAAACATCTGGAGCCTAAGTATGGGAATCCAACCCATGTTACTTTTGAATGAATAATACAAATTATCTGTTGGATTGAACCAGTCATTCTTGTAGAAAGCTCAAGTTCACTGTTATTTCTGAGACTTCTGGAGATGGTGATTAACAAGGAGCAGTATGCAATGACTGAGCTTGACCATCTTCAGTTAGATAATAAAGTTCTGAGCCTGTGTTTGGGTTCAAAAAGTCAGGCACTGGATTAAGACCTAACCAGAAGTTCCTTAATCAGCCTACAATGGATGTAAAACCATCTGTTCCTTTCATCAGAAACTGTGGACCAGGTCTTTATTTCCCATCTAACTGTATTCGAGAGCTCAGGGGGAATAGGAAGAGAGCCGGTCATTTCTGTCAGAGTGTTCAAAGGCTGCAATTCTGCTTGACCTTTATATGGGATGCAGAAGGATGGTAAAAGTCTCTTTGGCTTTGTCTACACTGCAAGATTTTTGCGCAAGAAGCTTTTTGCGAAAGAGACCTTCCACAAAAACTTCTTGCGCAAAAGCGCATCCAGATTTCAAAAGCGATGTGCTTTTGCGCAAGAAAGCATGCACACTGCATGGATTCTCTTGTGCAATGGCCATCAGAACACCTGTGCTTTTCCTGATAACCTCTTTTTGCGCAAGAAACCCCTGTGGAACGTCCACACCTGCTTTTTTGCACAAGAGCTGTAGCGCAAAAAGGAGTTATTCCTTGTGGGGAGAGGAATAACTCTACTCTGTCCTGTTGATTTACTGGGTTTTGGAGGGTTTTTTTTGCCAAAAATGCACTTGAGGTGTGGACATTCCCATCAGTTTGTGCGCAAAAACAGCTGTTAGTGTAGACATAGCCTTTGTTCCTATCCTGCCACAGCAGATTTGTATATCAGCCAGGCAGAATCTTGTGTCAGGAGTTTAGGATTTGGCCCAAGGTTCTATTCTGTAGGGCTTTGTCTACACTGCAGGGTTTTTGCGCAAGAAGCCTTTTGTGCAAGAGTTCTTGCACAAAAGCTTCTTGCGCAAAAGCATGTCCACACCTCAAAGCACATCACTTTTGAGATATGCTTTTGCACAAGAGAGAGTCCACACTATTGGATGCTCTCCTGCATATATAGCCACTCAGAACCAGTTCTAGCCAGGCTAGAGGTCAACAGCCACTCTTGAGTGCTGTTGCCGGAGCCCTCCACAGATGCATGCTTAAAAGGGACCTCCCTGGACAACCACTTCTCTGTCTTTGCTTCCTGCTTGCTAGCCCCTTTAGCAAAGCTAAGCTTCAGCAGTGCCTGCTGTGTCTGCTCTGTACTTTTTTGGTGACCACACAGCTTTTGCCTATTGTGCCCTGTGCTATGGAGCAGGAGCTGCCCCATGGCATGCGGCAGACCCTAGGTCCATGCTGCACTACCTGCAGTGCCTGCCTCAAACAGCGGTCCTCTTCCAGCTGGAGGTGGACCCCAAGATATTGATCAGCCTCTGTCTGACTGCGGGTGCTCCACTCCAGCTGCCCCAGCCCACCATACCCAGAAGATTCTGGAGGCTGGAAACCAGCTCAGACTAGTGGGAACAGCTGGTTCTGGAGCAGTGGGATGACCGGTAATGGGTCCAGAACTTCTGCATGTGGAAGACCACCTTCCAGGAGCCTACTCCTGGCTCACCCCTGCCAGGAGTCTGGCTCACCCCGGCCCTCCAATGATGCAACACCCACCTGTGGCCCATCATCCCACTCCAGAAGTGAGTCGCCATCTCCCTCTGGAACCTGGCCACATTACTGCTTGGTGGCACCACCAGTTTGGAGTGGGGAAGTCCACCATTGGGGACATCCTGATGCAGGTAAGGAGATCACAGGCTACAGCCGCTTCACAGGTGGGGGAAGGGTGCTGTATAAGGGAGACTGTCAAGGCTGATTCCCCACTCTGGCACGATGAATGCAGAAGTGGGAGCCCATATAAGCAACCCCAAAACCTGATCTCTACAGGCGTTGGTACAAAAACTTCCCCCAAAATCCTAATACCCAGATTTTGGGGAATCCATTGCCACCATCAAGTGCTTTTGAACCCACAAACAGAGGTGGACACTTGAAATCAACCTCAGGGCACCCCAAGCTCTTTTCTTTAAAGAGATTGAAAAAGAGAAGAGAAAATACAAATTGCAATCTGTGATTGCTGTCCCCTCACCAGAGGCATGCAGATCCCACAGACTGATTTTCCAGGACACAGAAATGAACCAATACTAGGTTAATTAAAAAAAAAGAAAGAACTTTTATTATTAAAACAATAGTACCATTGCAAGCATAATGACTAGATGGGAAAAGTCACCAATTAATATACTCATGGGGGACCCCCACAGGCTCAGGGGGGTAATTCCCTTTTTGTAATTCCTTAATTACAAAAGAGAGGAAAACCCATTTCTAACAGCACAGACATCAGATCCAAATTCCCCAAACCAGAAAACAATACAACCTGATGGATTTATCTAGACTTTACCCTACTTACACATTATGAAGAGTCTTTTTCTTGGAGAGAAACATGTCTTCTGTCTCCCTCAGTACCTAGAGAGCAAAACTGGCTCAGACACAAAGAGGGAAAACCCCAAAATTCCTTTGTCTCAGTTTGAAATCCCTATCTGCATTTCTATTGGCTGAGCAGAGACCTGGCTAGGTACAGGGATATAGTTAACCCCTTAGTCCCCAGGCTGCTGGCCATCCCTCATGGTCATGACAGAGACCCTCAGGACAGGGGGGCTGGGGACTGTACATGGTGGACTGGAGGTGGGGGGAAAGCCCTGGCCCCGGGTTCTGGTGCCTTCTTGGCCTCACACTGGCTTGGGGAGGGGGAAGAGGGGTGGGGTTCC